AAATGAGTGAAATTCCTTATGCTGGAAAAAGGAATCAAAATGAATTGTTCACATCAAAACAGTGTAAGGAACTCTAAAATATGCTCTGCTATGAAAATACACATGGAAAATTTAATCACTTTGTTCCGCATGACATCAGCATGAGGAGGAGGGGGGCAGAGGTGAGCACAGTTTATGTGACCTGTGGAACCAGAAGAGAGAGAAGATTGCATTGGTGAATCAAGAAAGAAATACTCTCTGGTGAGTCCTCTGGTCTCTGAAGATATCTCGCCTACTTGATTACCAAGCATGTTTCTGACATATGGTGCTATGGTCTGTATGTCAGGACTCATGGTGGTGCTGCTGGTAAAGAATCCACCCGCCAATGCAGGAAACGCAAGAGATGTAGATTTGATCCCTGGTTAGAAATTGGCAACCACTCCAGCATTCTTGCCTAGACAATCCTATGGGCAGAAGAGCCTGGTGGGCTATAGTCCATGGGGTCTCAAAGAGTCTGAAATGACTGAAGTGAGTAAGCACATTAACATATATATATATATATATATATATACACACATATATGTATATGATAGAAGCTTGATCACTAAACTCAATTTTCATCTTAATCCTTAGTGGCATAGTGTAATCTTTTTGAGAAATGAATTTCATATCATTTACTTTCTTCTTGTTTGCAAGGCTTTTACATAAAAAGTAATCTTTATATTTACTGAGAAGCATGTTTTGGTAATCATATTTTTATTTTAAAAGGATCAATTGCATCCAAAACATGCCATATGTATAAAATCTACAAACTATTTCAAATCATTGTCAATGGAGTTTACTGATATTTTGGAAGGTCAAAAATCACAAAATGAATTAACTGATGTATTTAGTAGATTATGTTGTTTCTCAAACATATACCAGTGTTATTAACTAATGGAAGAGAGGGTCACAGTGGTTGAATTGTACAATAAAACCCTCTCAGCATAAAATACACACATGCAGACGAATGGATAAGGAAGCTGTGGTACATATACACCATGGAATATTACTCAGCCATTAAAAAGAATCCATTTGAATCAGTTCTAATGAGATGGATGAAACTGGAGCCCATTATACAGAGTGAAGTAAGCCAGAAAGATAAAGACCATTACAGTATACTAACACATATATATGGAATTTAGAAAGATGGTAACGATAACCCTATATGCAAAACAGAAAAAGAGACTCAGATGTATAGAACAGACTTTTGGACTCTGTGGGAGAAGGCGAGGGTGGGATGTTTCAAGAGAACAGCATCAAAATATGTGTATTATCTAGGGTGAAACAGATCACCAGCCCAGGTCGGATGCATGACACAAGTGCTCGGGGCTGGTGCACTGGGAAGACCCAGAGGGATCGGGTGGAGAGGGAGGTGGGAGGGGGGATCGGGATAGGGAATACATGTAAATCAATGGCTGATTCATGTCAATGTATGGCAAAACCCACTACAATATTGTAAAGTAATTAGCCTCCAACTAATAAAAATAAATAAATAAATAAATAAATAAATTTAAAGTACTACTGACATACATATGTATATATACATATGTATATTTTAAAATATGGTATTTATTATAATTTGCTATTATTCAGGTATGGTGAGGCCAACATAAGATTATTGCTTCTGAAAAGAGAGCTTGCTCCTCTGTTTCTTAGAGGAGGGGGAACGCCACAGCATGCAGGACCACATGAGGAAGCACCAGGATAGATGAAGAGGCAGAAGGTGCAAGTAGGAAGCAGGGCACAAGTCTTTGTTATGGCTTCCACAGGAAAAGCAAGGGAAGACAGGGTAAAGATTTATGGTCGGCTTCTTTTGAATAAATTTCAGTGTGTTCAGGGATGTAGAGACTGTTTTGAGTTGTCTGGTGTCTGGCCAGTGGGTGATATAAGGGCAAAAGATAAGTGGTTCAACCAGTGAGAGTTCCAGAAAGATGGTAACTGGCTAGTGTGTACTCTGAAATGGTTGATTGGCAAGAGTCCTTGGCTTCTGTAAATATCTCTCTTAATCAAAATAAGCTTTATTAGAATATACATTTTTTAAAAATTTATTTCATCATCAATTGCCACAGGGAGGCATTCAAAATAATCAATATTGATTAATCAATAGCATCAGTAATGTAAGCATTTAATTAATATAATGTGAGCAAAAATGTTGGTAGCCACCTATCTAATTATATCTTTCTCCTAAAGAATTATTACATGACCTCTGAGTATATTAAGGAAAAATGGACACTCATTTGAAAATGAGATTAAAGAAATAATGTGTTTGAAGAAGGAAAATACAAATGTAGGATGAAAATAATTTGTATGTATGTACAAGATTTAAACATATTTGTGTTTTAAAAGCAGGGGTTTATTTTTAAAATTTCTCTAGAAGAGTCATTTAAGAGTTTTAAAAGGTTTCTGAAACTTAAGAGAATTAGCACAAAAACTTGTTAAATCTCAGGAAGTCTGAAGGTCTTTTGATTTTAAACCATTAATAGAGTTTTGGTTGTAAGACTCAATCTTTGTCACCCTTTGGATGCTTCTTGGTTTCCATTCATTAAATTGGCAGAGAAGAGGAGCTTCTTCACTAACCAAAACTGAAACAGCTTTATAGTTCTATTTGAATGCTCAAATATATTTCCAAATAAAACTCTAAAGTGTCCTGTTTTCTTAATATAGTAAAATATGCTTAAGTTCTAATCAAGAGAACAGTGCTTGAATTAGTGATTCAAAAACCTGATTGTGCTTTCTTTTCTATTTTTAAAAACTGTATTTTAAATTATCTTGAGTGTTTACAAGCTCCAATTTTAATAATATTTATTATGATGTAAATGCAGGGCAAGAAGTGAAAAGTATCATTAGAATAGCTATCACAAACTCATTATTTAAAAATGACAGTTTTCATTTCTCTACTGTAATTTAGACTGTCTTTCAAACATTTTTGCCACAAAAAATGACTTAAATATCACAATAATGGATATTAAAATTTAAAGTGAAATTTGAACTAAAAATAATCACAAAATTTAATTGAAAATAAGAAATATAACTTGAATTTATATATTTTGAAATATGTTAACATTGACTGAAATTATAAGAAACTTTTCAAATTAATTTTGCAAAGTCCAGGAAGTTTAAGTGAGATAGATAAGAGCAGTGCTATCCTCAAATCTCAAGCCCATTACCTCTTCCCTAGACCAGAGATAACAAATAGATTTCAAATAGTACCAAGTCTAATTTACTGGTAGTTTTTTCCAAGTACACTGAATTGAAAGTATTTCCAGACCTCTGTGATTTGAGGGAAAGCATGCTGTGATAGACAAATGCTTTGCCATGGGTGTGGGCCAAGAATGGCTCTATACCCATCACACAGTTGTCACTCCCGCATTAACGAAAGCGTAATAGAAGAGCCAAGAGAGAAGAGAGACACAACAGCTATAATGCAGAAGATGCTGAGAAGTGACATTTTTAGAGATTTCTCTTTCATGGGATGGTGATCATTGAAAAGTTAAAGATGAGTAAAATGTTTTCTAACAATCAGGAGTTTACAAGATGTAGAGACTATCAGTCACTAAACAAATAATCAAAATGATACCAGTGGCTTAGAACAGTATTTGTGCATTTCTTACTCACATTGTTGCTTGAAATCTCCAGGATCTGCAGGGTTTTTTCACAGCTCTGCTATGTAATGTCTATATCCTGGAATGAAATCAAAATGATCAACCCCAGGGACCTGCTGAAACTGCCAAATGACTGTGAAAGCTTTTGCTCAGAATTGGCAGACTGTCACTTCTGCTTTCATTTCCTTGGCCAAAACAAATCACAGACCCATTCTGATGTTAAGGTAGCAAAGTAACAGACTCCTCCCAAAGAAGGAAATGAAGTCACACAGCAAGGGTCAGCAATAGATACACATAATGGGCAGGTTCTGGCAATACATCATTACTGAGGCCAATCAGTTCAGTTCAGTCGCTCAGTTGCCTCAGACTCTTTGCAACCCCATGGACTGCAGCAAGCCAGTCTTCCTTGTCCATCACCAACTCCCGGAGCTTACTCAAACTCATGTCCATTGAGTCCGTGATGCCACCCAGCCATCTCATCCTTTGCCGTCCCCTTCTCCTGCCTCCAATCTTTCCTAGCATTAGGGTCTTTTCCACTGAGTCAGTTCTTTGCATCAGGTGGCCAAAGTTTCGGATTTTTAGCTTCAGCATCAGGCCTTCCAATGAATATTCAGGGCTGAGTTTCTTTAGGATTGATTGGTTGGATCTCCTTTCAGTCCAAGGGCTTCTCAAAAGTCGTCTCTAACACCACAGTTCAAAAGCATCAATTCTTCAGCGTTCAGCTATCTTTATGATCCAACTCTCACATCCATACATGCCTACTGGAAAAACCATAGCTTTGACTAGATGGACCTGTGTTGGCAAAGTAATGTCTCTCCTTTTTAATATGCTGTCTATGTTGGTCATAGCTTTTCTTCCAAGGAGCAAGCCTCTTTTAATTTCATGGCTGCAGCCACCATCTGCAGCAATTTTGAAGCCCAAGAAAACAAAGTCTGTCCCTGTTGTCATTGTTTCCCCATCCATCTGCCATGAAGTGATGGGACCGGATGTATGATCTTCCTTTATTGAATGTGAGTTTTAAGCCAACTTTTTCACTCTCCTCTTTCACCAAGAAGCTCTTTAGTTCTTCTTCGCTTTCTGCCAGACGGGCAGGGTTGTAGGCCAGACTCGGCGGACCCTGACTGCCTGCGGCCCTCCCCCAGATCGGCACTTTCCAGGCGGCCACCTTCCTGGACTTCCGTGGCACAACATGAAGCTGCCCACCCTCCCTGAGCCCCCAGGGCCTCCACAGCCCCCTGGAACACACAGAAACACGGACTCTGCCGTCTCGGCTCCCTCTGTCTGTCTGGACTTCGTCTCACCTCCTGGTCCTGGGCCACAGCTGGCCAGCCTGAGGGTGGGCCCATCACCCAGCCCCAGCCCCAGCCCCCTGCGCAGGATCCCCCAGAAGCGGCCCCTCAGCACAGACACTGAGCACCGTCAGTCAGGAGGCCCCGCCGCCCAGGAAGTCCCACCTCAACTGCTCCTCCCATGGCCCTGAGGCTGAGATGGCTGCCAGCCATTGTCCCTGGGGTCTGGAGCCTCTGGCCTGCCGCTCCCACCGCGAGGTGCGCAGCGCAGGCCTCCACGATGGGCCACGCACTCTCAAGGGGCTCCCCACCGCCCCGGGTCCTGCCGCAGTGCCTTATGGGTGATGGTCCAGCCGCTGCTCTGACTGGCTCTCAGAGGCAGAGACAATAGCAGAGTATATATATAACAGTGTAATTAACCTATCAGTGTAAATGTTGATGCTTAGTTTTCCCCTCCAAAAGCTAATGTTATAAAGAACATAGCCATATATGTCCTTCATGAGCCTTATTCCAAATTTTATTGGGCTCTATATCTGTAGACAGTCTGATTTTTATCGTCATCTTATTCCAAAATTTGAAAGATGGGGCAAAATATTCTGGTGCCCGACATCTCTTTTGTTTTGTTTTGGTTTTTTTCCCAACTTTCCTGAATTTGACATTTTAATAATGTGAAGTGGTGTGTCGCATATTTAAACTGCCTGTTCCTAACTTTGTTAGTGTTGCTACTGGTTTTCTTGCCATTTTTTCAGTTAATTAGCAGAAGTTTCTGTATATTGTAGATGTTCAGTGCTGCCACTTTCAGACACTCTATCAAATGTTCCTTGTTACCTCTGTCATCCATAATCTCTTTTACCTCACCCTTACATCCAGTCAGCCACTGAGAATTGTTTATTCTATATACCAAGCCTCTGAAATGTATCTTCTTCCATCCATTCCCCTCTCCCTATGTTCTAATTTAGTGGACATGAGTTTGAGCAAACTCTAGCAGATAGTGGAAGACTGGGGAGCCTGGCATGCTGCAGTTGGTGGGATCACAAAGAGTCAGACATGATTTAGTGACTAAATAACAACAAATCATTTATTGCTGGACTGCTATAGTAACTTCTTACATTTTTTCCTGTCCATTCATACCGTACATCTTTGATATATCTCCTACAGTGCAACCAAAGTAATGGTCTTGTACTAAATAATAATAATGGTAACAAAATAATCATTTATTTAGTGTTTACTATTTACAAAACATTTTAAGTTTTCTATATGTATTTACTAATGGAATCTTCAAAACAGTCTTATGAGGTATGTTACATTAAGACTTTCATTAAGATTTCAACCAAGTAAAATGAAATTTGCACTGTAGTGAACGTTAAGACTGTGAACTCCAGCACCATATTGCTAGATACTAGTTTTCGTTTGTACATTGCCTCTCAAACTAAAATTCTAATCATGTCATCCTGCAAGTTAAAAATGATTCATATTATGGCATTGCTTTGGCATTACAGGAGTTTCAAATCTCTACTCTGCTTATATTCTAGCCTCAACCTGTTGTGTTTCTTCTGTTTCTGAAGATCAATATTGAGGGTATTTTCTCTTGATTTATGTTTTATGCTTGTTCTTTCTACCTGGAATTCTCCCTTCTCTTCCAACTCCATCTGGTTAAGGTTTATTTAACATTCAGACATAACAGAAATCACTTTCTCTGGGCAATCTCCCTTTGTACACAGTGGGTGCTTGCCTTATGTGTCTTCATAGTACTTTGAATACTGCCTTACAAAGAAGATATTTCAGTATATTTTAATTATCCGACTGCCTTTCGTTCTGATTACTAGGCTTTAAAGTTTACAAAGATAAAGATCCTGTTTTACTTTTCACCTGTGATCCCCAAACTAACACTATGCGCATCACATAACAGGCACTCTAGAAAATGTCATCATGGAAAAAAAGAAAAGGAAGATTATATTTAAATATAAGCAGAGCCAACATCTAAAGTTATATAAATGATTAGAAAAGTTACATGAAAGTGCTCCATCATGTGAAAGAGGGATTGTAAAACAGTAACACAATCAATAACAAATGCACAAATGAGGGAAATGGGTGGATATCAGGGTAAGGGTAAGAAGGAAGATGGTCTGCTGCTGAAACATGCTTTTTGCTTGAGAGCTCAGGCCAGGGTCCAGTAGAAGCACGGATTGTGTCTTTTATGCTTGTCTTTTATGTGTCTTTTATGTTTGTCTGACCTGGTGAAAAGACATCTGTCATGTATGAGTTGGCCAAAGGACATCAGCATATGCCTTTTTCAGATTAGGGCGGACTGCCAGGATCAGTCCCATTTGCTTGTCCTTGCAAACATGATGCGAAACACATACATATTCCTCTTTAGACTCACGAGCCTTCAGCCCGCTCTGAGCCAGAGACTGAACAGAGCCCACCTGGACCTCTGCACTGCCTTGCCGTCCATCATATGTCAGGTCTCCTTATTTTCTTTTAACATCTCTACCAACTGCAGAATGAAAACACAAATAACCCTGGGTATGCTGGTTGTCCTTTTATAATCTGCTTTTTACTTTAAAATAATTATATTCAAAATGGAAAGATTTATCTCTAAGTATGACATAAATCTGGTAATAATTTTTAAAAAGTATTTTTTGTTAACTGGTTAAATAAAGTCAAATTTTGTCTTCTGAGCTATGGATCTCTCTTGAAGAAAATTTAATGAAAAATAAATCTGCTATAGTAAAGAAAAGAGAGTTGGCAGCTTCACTATTTCCTCTTGGATGACCAGTCCCATATCCAGCTGTTACCCTAAATATGCTGCAAATGCCAATGAGAAAAAGAAAGGAAAGAAGTTAAGTCCACCTGGCCATGTGTTCAGCAGTCAATGACACCCTAACTAGCCAAGAATCTCCTACTTGGTCAGTAGGAAGGTCAGATGGAAGATAAAATTAACTGTTCACAAAAGGAAATTTTCATTCTGTAAAACCTGTGATTCATACAATTTGACATAATATTACAGGCTATTTTTTTGTTTCTTTTTCAGTTTTATTGATATATAATTGACATAGAACATAGTATAAGTTTAAGAAATATTATGATTTGATATATGTATATGTTTCTAAATGATTACCACAATATGGTTAGTTGACACAGCCATCAACTTACATAGTGACAGTTTTGTGTGTGTTGTGTGTCTCTGTGTGTGAGATAAGAACTTTTAACATCTTTCCTCTTAGTAACTTTCAAATATACAGTACGGTGTTATTGGCTCTTGTCACCATTCATTCCCATGTACATTGCATTCCTAATATTTATTCATCTTATAACTGGAGGTTTTTACCCTTAAAATATTTTACTTTGCCATACTCATCTTTCTTTTGGGGGGATGGCAGTGATAATTTTTGGTGCATCATTAGCAGTTTTGCAACTTTTGTATAAATATAGTCACTATAAAAATTAATTTCTAATCAATTTTGAGAAAGTTATGCTTATTCTTATTTTCATGACATATATCAAAACTATCTTCCACTAGAATGAAACCACCCTAAAGCAAATACATTCCAAATAAATAGTTCAATTTAAAGATGAAAAGAACGAGATTTTCTTGATAGATCATTAAAAAAGATGCAGCCACGGCTGTTTTGGAAAACAGCCACGTGGAGACCAGGAGACACATCATTTCAGCCCATATTCTTTTACTTTGAATGCAGTGACCCTTAGACTCATCTTGAGGTTTTTTTTCCCCTGACTACTTACCTCTCAATTCATTACTGTCTTTACTGTCTTTCAAGAGAATCAAGTCAATTAAGAGAATCAACATGCTGGAAAGTTGCTTATATTTTACTCTTTCTTTCTTAATGGTGGGCTGAGTGAGAAAGAAATGTGTTTATGAGTTAGTCACACATTCTGGCAATTGGTTTGCCTTGGTTGTTCACAATGCTTTTGCCAGCTACTCTCTGAGGACTTGAGATCTTAGGATCATGCATAACACAGCCTCAGACCAATGGAATCACTTTAAACTATGAATGTGTATTATCATGGGGTCAGTTGTTTCTGCCATTAAAATGCTAACAGGTGAAAGCTAGACTCAAACCTCTAATAAAATAAGAAACATGATGAACAAAAGCTATTCTTATAGCTGTAGCTAGTCCCAAGATCATATTTTATAGTCCTCATTTTCCTTCAATACTATCTATTTTAAAGTCCTTTTTCTCCTGGCCAGCATTCCAATGACTTAGCTACCTTGACTGGTGAGGTGATTTATGCTTTAATCCCTGAGGTATGTCATTTCCTGTTTATCTTGTTTTTATTACTCTATGGTTACTTCAATTGTCCATCACCAGTCAGCTGCTGATCTGATGAATTTGAGTTGGTCTTTTAAAGGCTCAGCAAAAGCATTATCTAGATAAGTAAACAATGTGGAGATGGGATACCTCAGAATGTATGTTAACCAACAACTATTCATATTATTGTTGTTTGTTTCCAGTAACTAGAATACATGAGCATAGCAACCAAGAAGTAGAAACAGAAATACCCCTTTCCTTATCATTTCCATTGATCCATTGGGGGAATGTGGGGTTTTCATATGGGCAACTTTAGAGTTTGTAGGATTAGAGAATCTGGTTCCCAGAGGTAGAACACTTTCACTACAGAATAAAAGAAGAACTCGGTACAAGCAACACTGTAACCCCTGCCTTTTTGCTGTGGATTCCTCATACTGATGGGTCAGAATCCAAAAATTAGAAGGATTTCCTATCCTAGAAGAGTTTATAGCACATTCTTAATTTGACATGCTCAGGTTACTGCCATATAATCAGGATAGTGAAACTATTGTCTGGAATTCAAGATTATTGGGGGCATTTACTTGTGATCCCATTTCTTGTGATAACAGTGAGTGAACAATTGAAGTAATCATAGAGTAATAAAAACAATATAAACAGGAAATGAGATACCTCAGGAATTAAAGCATAAATTGTGCTAAGTCATTGGAATGCTGGCCAGGAGAAAGAGGATTTTTAAATAGATAGTATTGAAGGAAAATGAGGAATATAAAATATGATCTTGGGATTAGCTACAGCTATAAGAATAGCTTTTGTTCATCATGTTTCTTATTTTATTAGAGGTTGATTCTAGCTTTCACCTGTTAGCATGAGTATTAAGTATCTATATCAAGGACTCAGTGTAGAATATATGTAGAACAGAAAAAAAAAAAGGATCCCAAGACATGTACAAATAAATGATGCTCCACAGTCCACCCTAGTTTATGGGATACTGTAATGGAGGACGAAATGGCAACTCACTCCAGTATTCTTGCCTGGAGAATCCCAGGGATGGAGGAGCCTGGTGAGCTGCTG